TAGGGAAAATGTTTTTATAGAAATGTTGTTAATTCTGATTATATAGATATATCGACGTTTTAATCATTTTCCTCATGATGTAGAGTCAGGCTATCATTTATATTGATCAGGAGGTTTCATCTGCTGTACTGCTTATGTTATAGTTGTTTTTTGGTGCACTGGGTCATAATTAGTCATAATTATTCCTCCATAGGTCTGTTTTGTCACTGATTGGCCTTAGTGCTATTTTATAGTAGGCATCTATGCTTTGGGAATTTGATTCTGCTGTCTCTAATGATGCTATTAAGATGGAGTGTTACATGCGCGTTTTATAAGATTATTTGTTTTTGTTGACTTAATTTTAGCAACTTTGATTTTAAAGATGTATGATGCACGATCCTCGCAGTAGAGCGCGCTATTTATGCCATAGCGAAAATCAGACCTGAAAAAAATCAGGCCTGTACGGGATTCAAACCACTGACCTCTGCAATACTAGTGCAGCGCTCTACCAATTGAGCTAACAAGCCAACTGGGAGCAGGCCCTTAAGTTGATTTGTAATAAACCCATGATGATAAATCAGTGGTTTGAATCCCGTACAGGCCTGATTTTTTTCAGGTCTGATTTTCGCTATGGCATAAATAGCGCGCTCTACTGCGAGGATCGTGCATCATACATCTTTAAAATCAAAGTTGCTAAAATTAAGTCAACAAAAACAAATAATCTTATAAAACGCGCATGTAACACTCCATCTTAATAGCATCATTAGAGACAGCAGAATCAAATTCCCAAAGCATAGATGCCTACTATAAAATAGCACTAAGGCCAATCAGTGACAAAACAGACCTATGGAGGAATAATTATGACTAATTATGACCCAGTGCACCAAAAAACAACTATAACATAAGCAGTACAGCAGATGAAACCTCCTGATCAATATAAATGATAGCCTGACTCTACATCATGAGGAAAATGATTAAAACGTCGATATATCTATATAATCAGAATTAACAACATTTCTATAAAAACATTTTCCCTAGCTACAGAAATCTTGAACTCCTTATAGCTATGATAATTGTGAACTCCTGAGATATTACAAGGTGCTCTGAATAGTTATTAAATCAACGGTAGATGATATTGTGTGTACTCCTTAAATTTATCCACCATTTATCATTAAAACCATTAGAAAGGTGAACAAAACTGTTTCAAGACTTAATTTTGAAAAATTAATTAGCAAAGAAATGACCTCTCACTCCCCTAATTTTAATGTATAGATCAAGCCACTGAGAACATGCAGTAACAGCTAGGCAAGAGAGAATACTAATGACTCTGTCATTACCATATATTCCTAAGTTGCAGTAAGTTTCACAATAAGATATTCTCTGATATTTTTATTGCTTAAGATCACATGTGTATATATTACAGACATTCTATGTGTATACCCATGTGTAAACCACATGGCCATCATAATTGTGTATTATTCTAGATGACTCTAATGTGGGATTTTTGCAGACATGCCTAATTTGTGACTTAATTACTGAGGCTAACAAAAGATCACTCAAAAGTCTTAACACAATTCATTATATGCTTGCTATTCATGCTTATTACGCATTTAATCGGCATTCAGTATATTATTTGTATGCTTATTTTTTTCTTTGTCATTTCTTTAGCTGACTTTTTTGGCATTGAGATCTTGTAACCAGCCATACAAATGAGATCCATGAAACAAAAAAGGACATAATTTTTTACTTAAGCTCTTACTAGATTTAACGGGTAAGTTATGAGTAAATGACAGTAATCTTTAGCTGAGCATCGATGTGTTTGAAACAGATAGAGCCGTCACGCATTGTTCCAAACACATTTCGTTGTGCCAGTCAACAAAATTACCGTTTTAAAAATACGAGGTGCTGTGTGAGGAATACACAGAGATCTGATACAAAAAAAGAACGTCTTACCTATACGAAATAATCATCACTGGCTTGTCTTTTCAGCTCTTGGGGATTATATGAAACCCAAGCATGTTCTCCATTGCGATACATAAGCGCCATTTTTCAAATAAAGAAGAATGCGATAGGTCAGCGAAATGTTGTCGGACCTAGTGCCTTACGTATATCCCATGTACAGAGGGACTGGAATCAGGGTTACGCAAAAAGGTTACAGTATCCTATTTGCAATAAGTAGATACCAAATTTGATGGCAATAATTGCAAAATAATTATGTCACATGTCAACGTGTGAGACTGTGACAATAATACGCTAATAAATGTTCGAAAATGGTACCGGACTCCTTTGTAATAAAGGAGAGAATTAGCAGCACGTTTAGTTGACTTCTGCTTTTATTTTAATCAGTAAATAAAGGATATCTGATCTGAATACACTGTTCTTTCTCCAAACTCTGACTGTTAGATGGTCTGAGTCACTCACTGTTAAGGAAGAGCGTGTGACCAGAGTGACCAAAGAGTTTCTTAGAATACAGGGGTGTACAACGGTACAGGGGTGTGCAACGCAACACTGATAACTTTTATTAAGGAATTCTTATAATAGCGTCTAACTGGAATTTTAGGAGCATGCCAGGATGTTCTGAAATTGGCAATAACTAC